CTTTTTTTTTTTTATTTATAAGTGTCTCCTTTTTTTTTTTTTTATTTATCTCCTTTTTTTTATTAATAAGTGTCTCCTTTTTTTATTTATTTATTTCCTTATTTATTTACATAAGTGTCTCTTTTTTTTTATTTATTTGTCTCTTTTTTTTTTGTGTCTCCTCTTGAGAGAATAAAAACAATTACACCTGCTGCAGCAACTCGCTGCTGCTGCTGCTGCTGCTGCTGCAATTGCAGCAGCAGCAGCAAACAAACAGTGCGCTGCTGCTGCTACCGTCTCTTAAAACTTGCTGCAGGATCTCCCTCTCTGCAGCAGGAGCTGCCTATACACCCCAATGGCAACCCCTACACCCTAAAACAATTGTTTCTGCTGCTGCTCGCTTCCTGCTAGCAGCAGCAGCAGCAGCAGCAGCAGCAGCAGAACGCCACCGATGCAACGGAACAACAGGAAGAAAACGGGGCGCTGCTGCAGCAAATGCTGCAGCAGCAAATGCTGCAGCAGCAAATGCTGCAGCAGCAAATGCTGCAGCAGCAGCAGCAAGAGACGCTGTGGCTGTGAAGACGGATTTGCAGCCCCAAACAAAACCAGCAGCAGAACACAGATGCAGCAGCAGCAGCAGCAGCAGAGGCAGCAGCAGCACCGCAGCACCATAGAAGCAAATCATCTAAGGTCGCTTTTGCATATAAGCGAACTGTGCTGCTTGCTGGCCAGCCAGCTGTTGTTGTTGTTGCTGCTGCTGCTGCTGCAGCTGCAAGTGCGGCGTTGGCGATTGCTGCAGGAGCTGTGGGGTCTGCGATGGCAGCTGCTGCAGCAGTTGCTGCTGTAGCAGCTGCTGCTGCAGCAACTGTTGCTGCAGCAGCTGTTGCTGCGGCAGAGACTGTTGACGGGAAAGACCGGCATTTTGTAACATTGAATCTCCTTGGGCTGCAGCAGCAGCAGCAGCTGCTGCCATCTGCTGCTGCTGTTGCTGCTGCTGCTGCTGCTGTAGAGGTTGTCCTGTTAGTGAGGGCTGCTGCAGCAGCAGAGGTGCACCTATTAGCGCATTCTGCTGCACACTTTGGAGGCCTTGAGCCCCTACAGGCCCTGCGCCCGGCTGCTGCTGCTGCTGCTGCTGCTGCTGCGGTAGCTGGAACTGCTGCGGACGTGGTTGTTGCATCATCTGTGGCACTTGCTGCTGCTGGATCTGCTGCTGTTGTTGCAGCAAAAGCTGTTGCTGCTGCTGCATCTGTTGCTGCTGCTGCAACTTCTGCTGGTGCTGAGACATTAGCATTTGCTGTTGCTGCACGTGTTGCGTTTGCTGTTGTTGCTGCTGTTGCTGCTGCTGTTGCTGTTGCTGCATAACCTGCTGCTGCGTCTGCTGTTGTTGTGTTTGCGGTTGCTGCTGTACCGGCTGCTGCACTTGTTGCTGTTGCTGCTGCTTATCATCTTGCTTTTGCACTTCCGGTGCTTTTGCTGCAGCATTTGCTGCTGCTGTTCCTGCAGCAGCAGCAGCAGCAGCAGGAAGCCACAGATTTAAGCAAAACATACGAACAAAGCCAGCAGCACATTCATGCAAGTGGATAAAATGCTGCTGCTGCTGCTGCTGCTGTTGCTACTGTTGCTGCTGTTGTTGCTGCTGTTCCTACTGCTGCTGTTGTTGTTGCTGCAGATAGTAAATCGATTCAGGGCAACATAACTTAATACATACCAGCTGTAGGGAGAGAAGCAGGTGCAGCAGCAGCAGCTGCAGGAGCGGTGGCAGCAGCGGCTGCCGGGAAAGCACCGGCAGCAGCAGCAGAAGCAGCGGCAGAGGCAGCTGCTGCTGCAGCAGCAGCAGCAGCAGCATTTCCAACAGGCCCAGCTGCTGCCCGATGCATCATATGGCGGTCTGCTGCATGCGACAAGTAGGAGAGGATCTGTGCAGAATTCTTGCTGCCTACAGCAGCAGCAAGTTGCTGCAGATCTGCAGCAACAACAACAGCAGCAGTAGCAGCAACAGCAGCAGCAGCAGAATAAGCGCAGCAAATACTTCTGCTGCAAACAATCTGTCTAGCCTCAATACCCCAACTCATACAGACCTCTACAGCAGCAGCAGGAAGAGCAGCAGCAGCAGCAGTTGCTGCTGCTGCTGCTACCCTTCCTGCTGCTGCTGCTACCCTTGCTGCTGCTGCTGCTCACCTTGTCCTGGTGTACGTAATGCATGATGTAGACGCTGCAGTTCCTCATGTGTCCAAAAGTCGCGATTAGCATAGAAGGCTTGCTGCTGCTCTTCTAGTGATCCTTCTATTACTCCTCCTCGCTGTACGTACACCACAAATGCATGCATATATATATATATA